TATGTTTAAAAATTAAAAATAATTTTACACACACACACACATACACTGTCTTATGTACGCGTATCTTCGATTATTATAGTAATTTTGTGTAATATTGATTTGAATTGTATACTTTTTAAAAAGATATATTCTAATAATTTTATTCTGATTATATTTATGTAGTACGACGGGATTGCGATACTCAATTAGCAAGTGGACAAATTAAAGACGGACTAAATGAAGCCACTGTATTAGCAAAGTATATTACAAACAATTTAGCAGGAAACGTGAATGTCATACAACTTGCGAAATGTGATAAAAAAAAAATAAAGGTAACTTATACAAATAACTTTTTAAATATCTTTTTCGCACGTACGCATATATGTTTATATATATGTAAATTTGTTTAATTATGTTTTATACAGGTAGATTTAACTTTTCTGAGCACTGAGTACAGTGGCAATACCATCTTATTAATTGGCGATACCTTGAGTGATTGTGTTGTACATGACGCAATTGAAGAAGTTATCAATAAGAATGTTCGTATTGACATAAACACGTTGATAACAAGCTTAACAGAAGGACTAGAATGTTTCATTATTCGGTAAAATTTTATTTTTATTTATATTGCAATTTTCGAGATTACAGCTTTTATTTGTAACGTATTTTCAGGCCGATATGTGGAATACTAAACAGGAGTCTTATTATTAATATGTGTGGGCCCTATAGAAACGCGCAGGCAAGTTTGGAAGCATTTGGAAACACGATATTGGATATATTATGCTTGATTAGCAGACTTAATGAACAGATTTTTAATATAAACAAGGAAGACAATTGTGTTGAGCCATTTAATAATAACAATGATAATAATAATGATAATAATAATTCTGCCGAGGAATCTGGCAATAATAATTGTAATGATGATGAGCAATTTGAGAATAATAGTAATGATGATTTTGATTCATTTTATAATGATAATTCTAAATCATCTACGAATAATGATAAGACTAATGATAATACTAATGATATATATGATAAGATGCCTATGGAGGTCTCCTTCGAACAATCGGTATGATAAAATATCTTCCTCACTCGAAACAATAAAGCAAATTTCCACCAGAGTGCATACACGCGAATTGTAACTCTCTTTACAGTTAAAAATTTTATCGATGGATGACTTTTATAAGAAACAAGAGGAAAGCAAAGTGGTATCACTAGAAGAGACACAAAATATAATGAAAACAGTAATATATAAATATCATAAAATATATTCAGAAACCGTACGGACGAATGATGCCTATGGTAGAGTAATAGCCGAAGACATATATTCTTCTGTAAATGTGCCGCGTTGTTGTGTTTCCACTAAACATGGATACGCGGTGTTGGCCAGTGATGGGCAAGGTGTCAGAAAAGTGTTGAAAGCAAATCTCATGGTAAGAATAAACTCTTATTAACAAGTAACGGCTCGCACGATTTTGCTAGGATATGTGATATGTTTCTCTCATTATCTCTAATACTTGTTTTTATCAATGTATTATAGATTAATTTAATTTTAATTTAACTTACTTTTTATCTTTTATTAGTTCTAAAAACTAAAAAAAGATAAATATTAAACTGAGATTAAAATTAATCTACATTGTAGAAATAGATATAAAACGTGGAAGGGAATATTAAGAATCACGGTTGACGAATTGTGCGGTCACAAATTTTGCAGAAAACAATTTTTAATTAAGTCAGATGTTGCATAAGTTGATTTTGCAATTTAATTGTTGAAGTCAAATCTTCACAAAACACTGCTTCTTTTCTAGTTAGTTAAAAAGATTTCTATCGTACCTGGCATTTGCATACGAGTAAGAAGTGGAGATCCTATACCCGATGGTAAAATCAATTATAATTGAATATTACATTCGTGTACTTATGGTAGATTAATTGTTGTTTTTATTCGTGATTACAGGAGCAACGGCGGTTGTAAAGTCTGTAAATACAAAGATAATAGATGAAGACGATAATGAAAATTATTTTAATATCGACAACATGGAATACGAAATTGTGGTTTTAGTCGCTCCAAAAGAGGGTGAAAATATTAGGTATATAAAGATATTCCAATATCTTTTTTATTATTTTTTAAAAAAAGCTTTATTCTATTATTACAAAAAATAATTTCTTTGCTTTTAAAGAAAAGCTGGCTGCGAAATAAAGTCCAACGAGCTTATTAAATACGCATTTAGTCGTATTAAAACAGCGGATCTGGGCATTTTGACATTATGTGACATCGATTCAATTACAGTCATTAAACTTCCATCTGTAGGTCTGCTATGTATCGGTTATGATGTATTAAGATCTGGAAACACTTCAACTTTAGGACGCGTCTACGATTGCAACAAGATAATTGTGTCCTCGTTATTGAAAAAGAATAATTATGATCCGGTGGACTTAGGAATTTCTGCTCACAAGTAAATATAATCGAAATTTATTGTGATTCTTCTATCACTGTAAAGCACGATTTGGTTTATGAACAATTATCGTCATTACAGCTCTTAATTAATTTAATGATCACGTTCTCGTAGATTAGATGATATAGTCAATAAAATAAAAAACGCTTTAGACAAAGTGGATATACTCGTAATAATGGGCCATACAAATGACAAAGATCTATTAAAGCCTATCTTAAAAACATATTTTAACGCAATGATACATTTCGGTATATTTTTTCTTCTTATTAATCATGGATTAATAATGATAACACATTTTTTACTCAAGAATTCTTTTTTTTAGGTTGTGTGGATATGAAACCAGGAAAATCGACAATGTTTGCAACGTGCACGTTCAAACAGAAAATGAAGTTTTTCCTATGCATGTCGGCAAACCCCACAACTGTTTCCGTTGTCACGCATGTATTGCTTCTGCCATTTCTGAACGAAACGTATTGCAATTACTTGATGAAGCCCGTGAACATGCAGGCTTGCGTAAGAGCAGCTTGTCTTCTTGCATCCTGTATACAGGAAGAGACGTATTAATACTTACTGTTATAATTTTATAGGTACATACAAAGCACGAGCTGCATTCGCGTCCGAAATTTTCCTGGACGACATTACGCTGGATGGAGACAGAAAGATTTTCAAGAGCTTGCTGCTTACAAAATCAAAATATAATAAGCTATCAAAAAGGTAACGCGCTTCTAAAATTGCCATCATGTTCGCCAAATCAATCGATATTAGAAGCAGCATTCGTACCAGCAATGTTTCTGAAAAATCTCTAAGATATTCCTAATCGACTAGTAGTATGTATATTCGTATACATGTATGTTATTTAGTTATATTATTTAATTGTAATTATGACTAAGCTGTTACATTTAATTACATTTTAATTAAGATCTAAATGAAGAAATTATGCTGTATAAAAAGAATAAGCGTATAAGCAAAATATACGAAATTGACAAGAAGAAATTAAAGATCATTTCATCAGTAATCATATCGTTTCATGCACTGATAAATACGAAGAAATTTTTTTTTTTAAATACTGAGATATCGAGTGCTTGTTTTTCTATCTCTATTATTTCATAATTTAATTATAGAAATCTCGCGCAAACTAGAATTCTATTAAAAACCTATTTAAATTATTTATTTTGAATTTGAAATAATTTTCTTTTCCAAATTGAAGAATACAATTGATTTTTGTTCATTTTAACTTTCATTATGTAATTTGTAAGAAATAATATTATAAAATAATTTATACTAATTAACTTTAATTTTTTGAAATTATATATATATATATATATATATTACATAAAGTATTCTTTTCTACTTTTACTTATAGATTGTAATATTATACATATACATATATATATATATTTTCAAGAAAATTTATATTTATTTCAATTTATATCAATCTTGAATGTATATACTTTCTTATTACAATAATTAAGTTAATTGTATATTATACGATATATTATATTATAACAATAATATTGATAAAATTTTCTTAATGCCAATACATATATTTTTTATGATTACGAAATTTGATTTGTAAAATGTAATAGTTGCAATCTTAAATATATTGTAAATAATGTAAACATATAGATATTAAATATGTACTAAACTAACTTCAATGAATAAATTTTATTAGCAAAATATGACAAAAAAACACAGTTAAATTTCCCCATTCGGTTCGATTTATCTTTTTTCAAGAAGACAAATTATTTGATTCATATTTATATATGATAGAAATATATATGATAACTCTAACATTTAAAATAAGTTATCATATAAAAAAAATAAGCTTTATTCATGAGGCTTTTTACAATGAGGCTGGAGAACGCTGTTACAAGCATTACAATGCTTATCAAACAATATATTTTTGCAACTTTAATCTAAATGTAAATGATTATCATAAAAATAGTAATATTACGAATACATGAAAATAAATTTTGCTAATTATATTGGGTCATCTAAAAAGTATCCGCGGTTTTTTGTCACTAGATATATGACCATCAACACACATCTAGTGACAAAAAACCGCGGATACTTTTTAGATGACCCAATATATGATCAAATTAAATTTTGAAATAAATATGATGATGCTTATCTAAATATTTTATGAAATTAGAAACATTTTTACGAATTACAGATTTATTTACTTGAATATTTACTTGAATATTTCATTAATAATCTATTTGATATATGTATTTGATATAATTTACATATTGCATTTATTTTTCAACTATGTACTATGTAAATCTATGAAAAATATGTATAATTATACGAAGAGAACATGACAGTAAAAATATGTATTACATATCTGCCAAAGCCAAAATTTAAATATAAAGAGTATTCTACTCTTATATTTCACAGCAAAAGTTTTATGTAGATTTTATTATAGATTTTTATGAACATTTCTATTTAAAAATTCTGAAATGTACGTTAATAAAACTGATGAAATCATGATTCAATATTTCTGCACAAACTTACTAGATAATAATAAAAATATAAAAATGCATATTTATGGATATTAAAAATATATTGATCCTAACAATGATTGTGATGAATATCAAAGTTGATATTTCAAAATCTTGAATATTTGTAGAATGAAGAGAAAAAGAGAGAATTTAAAAAATAAATATAAAAAAATTCTTTCTATCTTTGTATAAAATTTCAATTTTTATGTACGCTTTTATAATTTTATTCTGTAAAAAATGATTTACTAAAAAAAAATATGTCGATTGTAATTACTTCCTGTACACTTGATGAACTTAATATGTACAACCAAATTGCACACATAATTATCCAATATAAATTATAAATATTTTTCATAACCAAATTGTGAAAATATAATCAGCAAGATGATATGTTGTGTCTCACATATATTATACATATCATTAATATATCTATTTAAAAAATAGAATTGTATACATAAAAAATTTGTTAGTACATTTAACTCAACAATGTCAGATTTATTTACAATATTTATATACATGAGTATACAAATTCATATGTATTTTTATGTACTATAATGCATTTTCTTATAATTGATTCTTCGTTACTGTTATATAGCTTTCTGTTCAATATCTGTCAATGATGTATTCGAATGAATATTATTTTCTCCTATACCTCCACAAATCTTGTTGCTGACGCTGCATGTACTTTCGTTTAAAGAATCTTGACTGAAGCAGATATCTCCAGTTTCTGATTCAATCAAACTGTTGACTTTTGATATTTGACTAAAACTTGTCTCAAAGGTATCTTCAGAACATTCATTTCTACTCGCTTGACTGCATAATGAATCGTCCAAGTTCATGTCCTTTGAAAATTGGCTCTCAGATTCGTCTAACAAATCAGTATCAACCAGTTTTGAACTCGACAGAGATTTACTCTCAGGTCCTTCACCTTTTCTTCTTATATCTTTTGAGTCGTCAAATTTTTTTATTAGATCTCTCCAGGGATCTTCCAAAAAGGAATTTACATCTACATATGCCGATATATTCATCTGCCTATACGCTCCTTTGTAGTCCTACAGTAACACAAAACTTAGAAAAATCTTTATCTTTCAATACATCTCCTCAGTCAAATCATTTACCTTTCTTATCTGCCCTTGAAACTGTTTAGGAGAATGCTTGTAGGCAGGGTTTCTCTTGTTCAATCTTGGCGTGGCGTGATAGTTGCCCCTATAATTGTTATCCCATCCACTGCTTGGACTGCCGCGTCCACCGGAAGGACTATACCGATTAGCTGTATTATACTTGTCGTATCGCGTCAGCGGTGTGCTAACATCCAGAGGGATGAAATTGTCGTCGTGGGGCTGCGATCTTGTATTACTTGCATAAAAACGCGGATAACTATTACCTTCCATAAGCTGATAACCTCTACCACACGCGTTCTCGTGCGACTTCCAATTGTATGGCGTGTGCCTGGTACCGTATGGCCGACTACCATACGCAGGATTGTTCAACGGTGATCGCCTCATTTTTTTCAAAAAAACAAACGCGAATTGATTCTACGATATTACGTGATATACCTATGTACACGATGGCTTACGCGTTTCACCGCACAATGAACTAATATGATATATATGAATGTAAAATGTAAACGTAAATAAAATACATTACATCGACAAGTCAAGCTCTCTTTATTTCTCTCTCTCTTTCTCTTGTGCTTCAGCGCATGCGCAATGTAGTGACAATGGACGAGTTCAAGCTGGCAAACGCTTGCTGAGTGAGCATGATTGGTTCTTACCTGCGGATCCAACCAATCATGTTTAATTGCTCGGCGAATAGCTAGCCGCTTTGTCTAAGGAAATACTACAGTATATGTCGCGTATACTATAGTCAGAGCATGATATAAGAGGTTTGTCGCGTTGCATATTTCACATGCTTCAACATGTTCTATCATCCAATTCACTCTAATGAGTTCGTTAGAATGAGTAGGAACTACAGTTGGAAAAGCTAGGAGCATGTGAACAAATTAAGGGCTCCGCACAATAAAAGAAACAGGAATAGAGAATAGAGAAGAGAACATTATTCTCTGTTCTCTGTTTCCTATTCCTTTTATTGTGCGGAGCTCTTAAGAATTTTAACCTATCAGAAATCATGTATTGTGGAATACACAGTTTCTGATAGATTGAAATTCTTATTCTCTGTTCTCTATTCCCTGTTCCTCTTATTGTTCGGAGCCCTTTAAGATTGCTTTTTCATGTTGACGCTCGATGTTCAGCGTCAAAACAGGAAATCAATTCTGTATCTTGAAACGAGTTGAAAATTACAAAAGTGAGCGAATTTACTAGAATACTAATAATTTTATTGGTCAACATCTAGTAAATTTCGTCACTTTTGTAATATTGTTTGAAGATACAGAATCGATCCCCTAGTCACGTGATCAAAATTGATGCTTGGTATTCATCATTTTTGATCACGTGACCTGTTTTGACGCTCGAATCGAGCATCGTATGTCAGAATGAAAATGCAGCTTAAGAATACAAGAGGTGCGTTTAGAGAGGCGCTATTAACGTATCTTCTATCTTTGTTTTACTAATAAACAACAAAGAATGACATAAGTAGTGCTAATAGCGTCTCTCCAAACGCACCAATGATGTATGTACCGTTGCGCATAATGGCCATAGCAATATTAGAAATAATCAATCAAATTTTAGCCTCCATGAACTTTTCTATGTATAATAGCGCTGGCATATTGGAATAGCCAATCAAATTTTGGCTTCAATTCATTTTCTTACTGCGCATCCTCGGGTATGGTACACCTGGACTCGATTCTGTATCTTCAAACAAGGTGAAAAATACAAAAGTGAGCAAATTTACTAGATGTTGACCAATGAAATTATTAATATTCTACAGAATCGATCCCGAGGTGAAAATTACAAAAATGAGCAATGATTACTAGATATTGACCAATTAAATTACGAATATCCTAGTGAATTTGTTCACTTTTGTAATTTTCACCTCATTTCAAGATACACAATCGACCTCCAGATCAGAAGTTCCTCTGCTATTTTCCTAGTTTTTCGTATACGTTTCTTTTCAAGGCTACGTTCTAAAACTTCCTTTCCGAGAAAGATTTTACTCTATATGCTATAGTATACGTTACATGTACTATATATTTTTCGAGTAATAATTGCTCGAAGAGAAAGTTTTGAAATGTAGCTCAAAAATAGGAGCCTTGGGTCGTCTTTAATAGCCTCTCTCGTCGATACTAATGGCAAAATCTTGTAAGATATTTCGCTATGTAGTGCCATGAAAATAAAAACTACGTGGAACCGGAAACGAGGAAACTCGGCGGGATCCAAGAACAAGGCGTATCGCACAGTTGGCAGCAC